GCCAGGAAGATGAAGGGAAAGCAAGCATTAAAAACAGAAGAAGAAACAAGAAAGAAGAGGATCTCAGGAGCTGAAAGAAGGGAGAATTTCAAAGATGAGCCAGAGTTGTTATAAGTTAGACAGAGGGAAAGGTATTTGCTGGCTTCAGTGGCCACCCATGACCTTGGAAGCAGTCATGAGGAAGTGTTGGGAAGGAAATGGTACTGGGGGCTAGGTTGGGAAGGAGATCAGCAAGCAAACCCAAGCTACTTCTCTGGGGTGTCAGATTGTGAAGGGGCAAATGCGGATAGTTGCTTGATGAACAAGCACAGCTTAGTTGTCTCACCTTTGAGAAAATCAAGTGGAGATGCATGGAACAGAATCTGCCTCTGCCATTTCAGTTAGTTGCTATTTGATACTTGATATTGGAGGCCCACAGTATGCTAAGGGAAGCTTTCATTTCATGTTCTAATCCCTTTGCCTTTTATTTTTCCATTTTCACATACTATTTCCATATAGTCACTCTCATATGAGAAAGCTGGAAATTGGAAATTTCCTGGGGTATTCAGGGTCTGAGCTTAGCTGAGGTCATCTCATGATCAATCACTTTTTGACATGTATTCCCTAGTTCTAGCTCTGCTTTCTTTCAAGACACAAAATTGGGGATTGGTCCCCACAGACACTTTAAACTCTCAATATCACCTTACCCATGGGTAGTAACATTCTGATTCCAATGTATTTTTAAAGTCATTGGCTCATCTCATTCTTTCAATAACCCTAAGAGCACAGAAAGCAGATAAGCTTATCACCATGTTACAGATGACAAAATAAAGGACACAAAGAAAAGTCTGGAAGCTCTCCAGTTTGTACAAGGCCATGTTCCTTCCTGTCCCTCAGCTCTTCCAATGAAATTATCAGTGGCTGTGACAGCTTGATTCTTGCTTTGGAGTGGATACCCTATTGTGGCATCTAAATATATTGCAACCACAGATCAAACAGAGAAAGACAAGTTGGCATGGTAGCACACCTGAAATCTTACTGCCCTAAGAGGTTGAGACAGGAGGATCACAAGTTCATCCCAGCCTGGGATCAAAATTAAAGAAGGCTGGGGGTGTCACTCAGTGTGAAGGACCTGGGTTCAATCCTCAATACTGGACAGATGCAGCTGACAGTACCCGTGTCTGTACCACTAAATTAGGCTGAACAGCGCTGTAGCATTAGATGCAGCATAGATTTTTCCAACTGCTTCTGTAAATTATGTACTTATTAAATCACTTGGGGAGGGTTCTTGGAAAGAAGGAAGGAAGACAGGTATATAGATAGATTCATACATACACATATACATACATACTTGGGTCTTCCTCTAAGCCAATTAAACTAACTCTCAAAGACTGGATGCTGAACACTGTTATTTATAAAAGTTTCCAGGTGATTTTATTATGCATCAAGATTGAGAAACAATGAGCACAGCAAATTAACGTGTCATGGAAACCAAATTAAACAGGAGGTCCTTTCTCTTGGATGACACTCTGTCCCACCTCAGTATTAAGGACCCAACACTGAGTTTGCCCTCAAAGTTGCTAATCTAGCAGCACTTCTAATTCACTCTCCCTTCAGTACATGTTCTCAACCTGACTGACTCTTGCTACTATACACAAGCAGGATTTGAGATGCCTTTGTCTCCTTCAGACAGTTATTCCAGCTTCCTCATCGCTCTCCTCTTATCTACTCTGGAACCCACAGGTGAGTCTTTGCAAGGCCACCAGAGCTGGGACAGGTGATCAGGTCTCTGTACATCAGTTGGCGGCATCACAGGATAATGGAAAGTGCATGCAGGAACAAGGCGGGCATGCAGAAGGTGCAGATTAGAGCATCAGGTTGGTAGGGGTGAATGGGCTAGCGATTACTGATCAGTGAACCTGGATGACACAGAGATAAGATTTTACACTAAACCTGAAGTTTATCTTCATGCTGTGGACATGCAGTTCAACTCTGACAGTTTAGCAATAAATTAATTAGTTCCTCATTTTACAAAGGTGATTCTTGCAAGCTGTCTGGAAGAAATGCAAAGGGACACAAAGGCTCATGCTACTGCCCCAGCACCCAGGTTCTTGTTACCGTCCCAATAGCAACCATGTCCAGTCCTGCCTCACTTGACTTTTGATGGTGGGACAGATAGGACTGCTTAAGAGTTTCATGTTTCTGCATGAATGAGGAATGAGTTTCATTGTTATCAAGATTGCACATGTCCACTTTGGGGAAGAATAATTATGAAAGTGAATGTTATGGTTGTGAAGTCCTGTGAAGTCACGATGCAAATATTTAAACTATTAGAGGAAGAGGACCGCAGTTTGTCAGCTTCTTAGGACAGATGTGATTCCTCCAGGCTACCTTATCTATGGTGAGGTCATGCATTAAAGGAGCCCTGAAGTGAAGTGTGGTTCTGCTGATCCTGCATCATTCTCTGTCTGATTTCCCATGCTGCAGGCACAACTGGCTCTTCCTTGAACTTTGCATATAAGCTTGTCTCAGGCTGACCCTTCAAACTCATAAAAGGTAAGTATCTCACATCCTCTTGGGAAGGGCTTTCATGGCCAGTCTATAGAAACACAACTCACTGTTGGACTCTAGAATAATTTTTTAAATCACAATCTAAATGTGCTGTATGTTTCCCTCAGTGGAGTACAAGATGCAGAGGTAAAACACCTGTATGCCTTCTTTGTGAACCATGTGCATAGTTACTGGACTTCAAAGATAGTAAGATACTGCTGAAAAATGAAAAAGTATTTTTAAGAACAAAGGCTGAGAATGTAGCTCAATATAAATGCCTGGAGTTCAATATCTAGTATCAAAACAAAACAAAGCAAACAAACAAGCAAACCATAAAAACTGACTAAAGAGAAAGAAACTGGGGAGACTTTTAGGTTTGCTTTCTGTAGTATCACAGGCATAGTTGCTCCATAAAAACACTCACTGGCATAAATTTGCTTTGCTTTGTGAAGACATATTGTGTTGCTGTGGTTAAAAATTAAAATCTTGACAGCTATGACACCATTAGGCTCACACAACACATCCACGGACCACTCTATGGGGAATTTCCAGACATGCGCACTCAGGAGCAGACCACTCTCATGCACTCTTTCTCTTGCAAGGTTTTGGGAGCTTTCTACCAAACGTGAGCACATACTACAGTTATTCTCATGGTACTGAAGTCATAAGCTGCATGTTGAGGTGAGCCCCATAGGACTGCAGCAAAATGCTATTCCAACTCAACTAAGTTCCTATTCCTTTAAATACTATCACTAGCATGGAGATATGTTAGCACAATTTATTTTAGGTATGTTTCTACCACCCTGATGGTTCTAATTCTGGAATTCTAATTCAAGGACTTGGGACATCTGCCCAACAATAATGGTTTTTCCTATTTTTCTACAAGGATGGTGCTTGTGATCTATGATTATCAGGTAGGAGTAGGCCTGACCAGCAGTGGGCATGCTGATTCCTTCTCCAGAACTCAGTCTTATGATGTCTGCCAGATGGGCAGTGGGCAAGAGGGATGAAACTGGAGGTCAGACACCAAAGCAAACCTGCACTGGCCCATACCATGATCCTCAGCAGCTTGTTGATCTGATCATTCAATCCAGTTCATATTGTTATACACAATACTTGGACATGGGTACTTTTTAAGTTTAACTATGTCCCAAATATTACATAGGATATACTTACATTAAAATAATATTCATTATTGATATGAAATCCAAATTTACCCAGGCAGATTTATTCACTAAATCTGGCAACTCCATTCCTAGGGGGAAGTCCCAATAATGACTTCTCTTACCCAAGGAATTTTAGATTGTTTCACATTTTTATATTACTATTGTCTACAAATACTTAGACATACTTCTTTTTAATCAAGCAACATTCTTCTATTTTTTTGCCTTTATAATAATTGCTTATAATTTTGCTTATTAATAACATGAGACTTCCTTTAATAACTTAAGTCTTCTTTCCAGGATACATCATCAATACTACCTTGTTGTCTTTTGTATATCCAATTCACAACAATCTCCATGAAACAGAAATTTTTTTACAGTTCAGATTTGACATTGGGCTTCTTTAGTCGAACCACCAACGTTTCTTAATACTCAGTTTCAAATGCAAGCTGTTTTGAAAATAAATTAATGACGTAAATCGCTACTCATATAAAAGTGGTCCCTTGTAGTCATTCCCCTAAGCCAGCTAGGATTCTGACAATTTCAAATGTTGCTTAAAAAGTCTGTTCTCTGTCATCAAAAATGATCTAAAAATAGTTGCAATAACAAGGACAAAGCCATCTGTCTGATCTCTCCAAAGAGCTCATGTTTCTATAGATTTTATCATTTTGCAACTGTTCGTACAAGCTCTGAAATTTAGGAGAGCCACGTCAACTTGGCAGACAACACTCACAGAAATAATTAGATTTCATCAGTAATATTTCAATTACTTTATTCTTTCACATCACAAAAGATGCAATTCAAACACGTCAAAGCAAATAAAGTTTAGATGGCACTAAAACTATGAATTTTTCATGATTATGAAATTTTTTGATGATTATTGGATGAAAACTTTTTACTAACAATCAGTTGAAAAGATGCAATACTGATTAAATAGACATGCATATAAAAATGCCTGTCATTCAAGTACACTGACATGGAAATTGTTTACTTGATAATGTCATCTTTTGTTTGAAAAATAACTTTCAACAGATGCAAATAATCCTGAGTCACTTATTAGAGCCATCACATCAAAACTGGGTACATTTTTTCTGAAGAATAAAGCTTTCTGGGGCTGGGGATTTAGCTCAGCAGCAGAAGCACCTATGTGGCAAAAATGAGGTCATGAGTTTGATTCCTGGTACCGAAAAAAAAAAAAAGAATAAACTTCCATTATATTAGAATAAAGTTAGCACTAAAATGGGTAAAGGCAAAACTCAAATAAAATATGCATTTAGGAGTGTCAAAGTGGAAGAAAAAAAGACTGACCTTTGAGTCGCCATTCCCTGGGATCCCAAGGTCTCCATTCAGGAGAGCAACACTGGCAACTTCATAAGCTCCCACATAGTCCCGTAAGCTCATTCCTGAATTGAAAGAAAAGAAGCCACATGTTTCATTCCAGTTGGGAAGAGTTTGACATCATGAGCTTATACATAAATGACACAGTGAAAATATTTGGAAGTTAAGTAAGTACAAGGAAACACCATAATCCATTAAATCATGTTAAGTGTGGAAACCAATGAATTCTCTGTCAATTTAACAATTAAAATACTGTACTTTAAAGAAAACAGATTAAAACTTTTTATCCTAAGCTTGTCACGCAGGCTGGGTTATTAGCATAGTCAGAGTATACAATTCAGCCCTTCAATAAGCAACAAAAAAAGGACAAGAAGTGATTTTTAAAGTGACGAATTAATGCCGTACCTAAGATTAGCTCTCTATTAAAAGTCTCCAGGCTTTAACCGTATTAAGACTAAATCCATTTACTTAAGTCCCAGTGAATCTGTTAAACACAATGCCAAATCTCCGCTCTGTACTTACAAAGTCTAATTTTATACACTTCAATAAGTGATTCTATAGACAAAATGAATTTGCCAGTTCACACTGACTAGACTGATTTATGTAAAAAAGAAAGCTCAAGTCATTTAATAAACTGTTATATGCTTTTGTTTCTTGGAGTCCTGTCTGTCAAACCAGTTACTGTACTGACAAAGTTCAACTCAGCTCCATTTCCACAAACAAGCCTAATGGAAAGGATAACATTTTTCTCTTTGGAGAGTATATCACTTTCTTTAACAAATACAGTAATTTCTCTGGGCTTGTTCTCCTATGAGGTCACACGCTTGCTATTCACTGCAACCACAGAGTAGTCCTCAAGGTAAAGGATGGACCAGATTCTCTCATATGTTATTCCCATTTCTCCAACCAGGGCTCATAATTTTCAGACCTGAGTCATAATGGCACAGTTTTAAGTTACTAAAGAGTTCACATTTATTAGGCACAAATGGTATTGAAATTTTAATCCTAGACATTTTATAATTCCCCAAATACTTTTAAATCCACACCATTTTATCATTCTCAATGTGGAAGTCTGCAGTTATAGTCGGGTTACAAAAGGATTACTACTGGAGCATTAACTGTCTGACCCAGCCTCTCCAGAAAATATTCGAGCTGGTCACAAGGTATTTTAGGCTGCTAGAATACCTTGAGGGCAGAGGCAACAGGAATGGGATGAACTGAAAGTTGGAGACATAGCCGGGATGGGGGTGAGCCGGGTTTCTAGGCCACAAAGGGAGAGGGAGAGAGAGGAACATGGTCACAGGCTGAGTGAGGAGGGTGGGAAGAGCAGTGCTCTGGACTGGGATGATTCATGGATTCATGAACCTGTAAGTGGGATATGGGTATCCCATTTGAGCCAGCCAAGGGGACACCAGTGAAGACATCATCAGACACTGTAGACATCAGTGAAGTACTGTCTGGACAGAATGGAATGGCCACCTGAAAGTCATTAGAAGTGCCCTGGCTGCAGAGGGATAGCCACAGGCAACCTTGGGGACCTGTAGTCAATGAGGCTCCTCCTATGTCTTGAGTTTGTGCCTGTCAGAGTGCTTACAGGAGGCTCATCAGGGGCTTTATTAGGGGCACCTGCCTCCTTCTTAGTCAGTGTGTTTGCTTACTCACTCACCAAGTCTTTATGAACTGCCTGCCTTGTGAAGAACATTACTGTAGGTGCTTTAGACCAGAGGACTTTCGTTCAAAAGGATCATTCTATTTGCTTCAAACCAGCACCACCTAATGTCACCTGGGGACAGTGACATTTTGTACATACCATAGGTAGTCTCATCTCTGAAATAGCTTCACCCCAGAAAAGTCAACTTTTTCAATCCTGTATATCTAAGCGAGGTTATGCAGATAAAGCTGTACTTCCCTATGACTAACATTTTTGTATTTAGGAAAGAGACAACTAAACAACTAAACAAGCTCAGGTCGGGCATCCCACATCTGAAAATTCAGAATCTGACCTGTTCCTAAATATGAAGCTTTTTGAGCCTAATATGATACACTAAGTGGAAAATTTTGTACCTGACTTCTTGTGATAGATTGTATTTGAAGTGAAATGTCAGCGATAAGAGCATATGTATGATGTTTGTATGAAATAGAAATGAATTTTGAATTTAGACTTGAGTACTATTCCCAACATATTTTATTAGGTATATGTAAACATATATAATCCAAAAGTTTCTGTAAAAACTCAAAAGTCTGAAACACTTCTGGTCCCAGGGGATCAGTTAAGGGACACTCAACATGTATGACATTTCAGGGAGCAGTGAATGCTACAAAAGATGACTACAGAGGACTCTGTGCTATACTTGCAACTCTCTTGCAAATCCAACATTATTTCAAGATAAACATTAATAAGAAAAATAGTGTAAAACAAGAGGGACCAGGAATGGCATTGTTGATGGATAAGTTAAGGAAGTCGGTCATTCGGTCTGTCTTTCTTTCTTTCTTTTCTTTCTTTGTGGGGGGGACATTAGGGATTGGATGCAAATGAGCTGAGACCTGAAGATGAGAACAATTCAACCCCATGGTACCCTGAGAAGAGCATGGCAGCAGAGATAGGAGGATGTTGTCTTTTATCGCAACTAGGCAGAGTGTCAGGTCCGGGGATATCATTCAAGAAAAGTGTAAGTCATTCTCAACTGGTGTTAATGGCATCATTCTTGAGGAGTTGCCAAGAGTTGTTCTCTTGCTAGAACCTCTGGGATTCACAAGTTAAAATGGGTTCTGATCCAATTATACAATTCCTGCAGAGCAAGAGTGCAAAGTGAAATAAACTGCACTTAAAAGAAAGTTGGCGTGGCATTTGAGTTGGGTAATTGACACTGTGAATTACCACCAATTATGGAATACAAAGTGGAAATCCATTTAGACATCCCCTAGACCATAGAACACTATGCGTGTGTCACGAGTTATCACAGCCATGATGGTACTCTTTGAAAAATCAGGTAAAACTGTTAATGTCACAAACATCTTAATACTCCTTCATATAAACAAAACAGTTGAGTTATAAGCCATTGCTGGTAGATCCAAGATAAGATTGCAGCACAAGTAAATTGTTAATTAATCCCAAACTCAGTCATCCGCAGGCCTGTTAAATTAGGCAGAGGATGATATCTAACATGGACATCATGTGTCCCCCACCATCTATACACAGCAATGGGGGACAGGAAGTCACATTAGCATTCCAGTCACCAAAAGGGAAGATTTTCACTCATGCCTCAGATATTGGAGGAAAGCTCTCTATTTTCCACACCTTACTTGAGAAGCTAAGGGAGGAGGCGGCTGTGCATGAAACCTAGAGCCTGTGAAGGAACTAAAAGAAGTAGCAACATCTCTCCTTGACCTTGAACATGTTAGGCAGCCCTCAGAAGGGCATCTGATTTGATGAGGCTGCTATGCAAATCAAATGTGAAGATCATTCTGAATCCGGGACCAGTTCTTCCAAGGTTCTGATAGTAAAGAAAAACATAGTGCCCTGTGAAGGCAAAATATTCTAACCACTGCATATTTTCCTTTTCACCTACATATTTCAGCCTCCTAATCTGAAAGAAGGTTTTTTTGGTTCAAATGGTTTCCTCGAAGAGGCTTTATTTCTAAATATTCCCAGGAGAATTTGAAGGCAGACAGTGCCAGCATTCGTGGGATGTTGTGCAACCCTTTTAAGAAATTGAGTAACGGCACCATTTGCTGAGTGCGGTATTTATTATCTATGTACATGGATAATGAAGCCATCTCTCAGCTTTTTAATTGGTTGCACTATGTTCCCTCAGCAGTATCTGTAGTCAGAAGACTGTTTCTTATGAGTTCTGCTTATGTATTTATACACTGGTATTTCTTTTAGATGATGCAAATAAAAATTTTATTTGTGCTGCATGGATAGACAGAATAAATTGTATGCAGCTGTGAGATATCAGAATGTATTTTACAGAGCGATCTTGTTGACAGACCATAAAAGCAGGTCTTGAGTGATGCACACATTCAGAAAATATGACCTTATAAAATACACAGTTTGCATACATTTTGTTTTTTCATAATATATATCTGGGCATGTACACATTCACTATTATCTAAAGAAGGAATATAGACAACTTATATTCGGAAGGAACTTGCAGTCTTTCTTGCTATTGTGCAAGCTGACACACAATGCTTGTTGCGCTGATAAAATGGCCAATGTACACCAGCCCCAGAGCAGAAAAATGCATGGTATATATTTGGATCTTGAACATAATTTAAGACCAACAGATTTATTTTCTCATCAGTTTTTTTGGCTCCTCCTCTGAGTCTGTCATTTTCAGACATGATTAAGGCTGGTCAAGAGGGATGTCTCAGTCCAGTTCTTTGGTCAAGGATCTTTATAGTGATGGCTTTGAAGGCTATGGAACACTTGGCAGACATCCCCAAAAGTGACTCAGATTCCTGAATATGAGATACCCAAAACCTGTGTCTGCACAAGCCCTACCCCATCCCAGGTCTATCAATTCCCTTTTGACCAGTTTATAAAGGTAAACATGGCAAGAAGTGGAGATCAAGTCTGTAGCACCCTGACCCCCACCTAAAGGCTACAGTTCTTCACTGATGGAGACAGATATATTAGAAGTGATGTTCCTGCAAAGAAAAAAAAAAATGTCTTTGGTCCAGATTCACATCTTCAACCTCAAACAAATAGTATTGCTATTGTTTGGTCATTTTTCACCTCATTTGCATAACCATAGTGGAAACTAGTGATACAATTTTAAAATAACACAGCTTAAGGATTTTCAAAAGAACTATGACAAACATTAATCTAAAAAGAGTAATTATAAGGGCAGATGATCAAGGCTGACATCAACAGTGGTAAGTCATGTGGGTTTTATATAACAATGACATATGATGAGAATGACATTTTACATCTGTGATTTTCCTCCTCAAAATCCATAAACCAGTTCTAATCAGGAGATAAGTTCTAAAGAAGTGAATCCTAAAACACATCTGATAATGTTCTTCAAAACTGATGTCATCAAAAAAACGAAGACAGTCTAAG